GTAAATCAGATCGGTACTAATTCCGGTGCGATACAGGAGCCGCTACTCATCAGCAAGAAATGAGTTGCACGAGATTCCCTTTAATTCTTTCGCCACCACATCAGTCAGTAGTTTCTCGATCTAGGCTGTAGCATGGTCGGCAGCTCAAGCGAGGAGTCCGTGATTGTCAGGACCACGGTATCTTCTGCCCATCGGCACGACTGCTACCTAAATCGAGTGGCTTAAGAGGTTAATTCATTCATTACTTAAAGAAAAGATTGCGCCGGGACTGAGCAAAATGCACACTGATGACGAGTACAAGACAGCTGTTCATTTCAGTCACGGAAAGCAGAGGCTGGCTGCGATATCACTGTAATGCAATAAAAGCATACCTTAGACTGCAAATCGGTGTCCGCTAGTTGTTGAAGTGCCATATTCCGAAGCAGAAAGTGGAATCAAGGTAAAATAATATTGGTCACAAACGGAATTTAGAGCGAAGACGACAATGATGTGCAAATTTGTAGCACAGATGGCACCATTAAGAGCGATGTTCCAAGTTTCCTGAGGTGGGATCAGTTCGGTAAGAAGATAATGCGCTGGGGTTTCAGCCAGATACCCAGTATTAAAATGAGTGTAAACAAAACTGCTCCAAATATGGGACGGTCTGTCGCTGTCCAAACACAACGCGAACTCCAAAAGCAGAGATAAGATTCCTGACGACTGAAGTAAGTGAAGTTCATGGAACCGGGCAGTCACGAAGTGTCGGCTGGTAACCACTAAGTGCCATGCCAAATTCGTAGTTCTGGCTATTCTTGCATGGAATATCAAAGCAACGACGAAGTCGGTCACGCAGTGTAGTTACGGGAACCAGTATACGGTTTCGTTGATCGAAATGAATGAAGTTCGTGTCGGAACTCAAACGCGCAGTGAGTATTGCGAACGTAAAACGTTGCTCTTTGATTTCGCCGTTTGCTGTACTCGGCTGTCATGAAACAGAAAGAGTGCCCAGTGGAATTGAGCAGTGCTTGTTCACTGAAATTCGAAGGCACTGAAGTCATGCACAACCCGATCTAGTGATGACGTGACGACCAGAAGTGAATCGATCCAAGGATTGTGGATACGTTGGGCCACAGATGCGCGCAAGATGGCATGCCGTTTTAAAGGCAGTACACCAGCAATTTGCACCAATGCTCCGTTGCTATGCAGCCGCAAAATACTTCACGTGGGTTGGGAATGTGGAATAAAAACGGAAGCGCATAGGTGCAAAGCAAAGGCTACGGATTCCATTGTTATAACTCAGTTCAGTTCTGTTACACAACTAAAGAAAAAAAGAAAGGTGTCAGCTTATACGCCGTAACGGCGCTTCGCTGCCGCGCGACCACCACTAGTCGCGCGCGGGCTGAGTATACCGCGAGGACGCCCACCCCTACGCGGATTCGAACCGGTGAACTTATGGTTGGAAAGCAAACGTGCCAACCACTCGGCCACCGGCCGACTGTTACACAACTATGATAAGAGGATCGGAGTGCGGTGGATCAAATTGCAACGTCTCACGTCGACAGATTAACAGCAAATAGCATTAATAAGAGAATGTTGAATGCAAACAGAACGCACAGAAAATGAGATCAGATACGTTAAACTAATCGGGATGGAATAAAGATTAACAGCCGGATGTAAGAAATCGAATGCAGGAACACCACTGATTGCGCGTCTGTGCATCTGCTACGATCTCCAACCATTGGTGTGGATCATCCTGAGGCTCCCATCCACGAAGACGGTATGCACCAGCCAGACCAAGTATCTCAGTCGATTTCTTCAAGCCACTATGAGACGTCGTTGACTGGCTACCTCGCGCTCTCGCCCAACCTGTTGCAACCACGGCGTATAATGCAGGCCGAGGAAGCCGATCAACGGTATAAGGAGGATGTGGCCCAATCGACGCAAGCGGGTAATATACAACAAACACTCGGACGAAGCACCAGAACGCTTCTTGCCAAAAAGCAACTGGCAGACCTCAGCAGACAGAGGACTAGTCGAGTCGGAAAAAGGTAGGGTGACATATTCTCGGTTCCCCCTTACTGGGGGGGGGGGGATAAAGTTGGTGCTCACAGAAAACGGTAGGAAGTGTAAGCGGGGTAGACTGCGTACAGAAGCGGAAAAGTACGCAGTGAAGAAACACTTCAAATATGTGTAAGAGGGAAAACAAACCAACGAAGAGAAAGGGTTTTGCAAAACCAAGTAGTCATTCTAAGAGACGGTCTTACAAATTAGCTCACAAGATCGGTATCCTACGCAATGAAGACCGAACGAGTTGATAGAGTGTCGCTGACTGGGGCTTGGGTAGAGAGATGATCATTTGGAGCAAGAAAAAATAAGAGTCGAGAGAAAAGAGTGAGCAAAATGATATCTTGTGGAAATGATATAAATAGAAAGGAAACGAAAAAAGGAAGTGATCGAACTTGTTTGCAGAATAGAGGCCACTTTTGGAAAACGTTAGTCAATTAAAAACGTTGTATCTCTGAATGTGGAGTACACAAAACTGAAATTGGTTGACATCCGCTTTTGCAAATCACCTAGTGTCAGCGCTAAAAAACAAGAAAAAATAATCGCACTCCAGAGATGGTACGCAAACCCAAGCAGTCAAAGCTGCGCAGAATGCCGCGCATAGGTCGTCGGTACATGAAAGCCCAGACTGAGATTATGATCAAGAGAGAGTAGCCATAATAAGAAAATCTTCTGCCTTCGTGGTATGTTACCAAGATGTTTCAAGTGGTATGAGCAAACAGATCGCAAAAGTGAACGAACTGTGTGCACTTGGCGAAAGAATCGCCGACAACGTTCCATTAATACGATGCGAACAGGGACAATATGACAAAGACGCACATTGCTCTGAAACGGGAGAAAAGCAAGTAGTGAGCGAAGTAGCGAGGAGGGGCAAATCGGTTGATTAGTATGATAAGAGGTTATTGACTCCGGGAGACGATCCAGCTGAAGAATGATGGCAAGATAGAATGAAACGACATCCCCTTATGGTGGAATGTAACAGTATAATCGAATCACATGCAGAATGAACTATTTAGAATGAACTGTGTATGAGGTAGTCATGTAAACGCCAGCCGTCCGGTGCACAGGTGAAAAGAACGGAAGAAGTTAGGAACAGAGAAAGAGGCCATGCGCCTGGAACGGGTGATAGTAGACTTCGGATGGATTTTTTAATGAGTCAGCGGAAGTATCGAAAACCAACCAAATTCAAGAGGTAGTCAAATGAAGTTGAAGATAGCTGTCACTAAGACCTAAAGATAGAAGTATTAACGTAGAGGAGGGGCAGAGGATAGATGAAATTTCTTAGGCATAAAATTAAAAGAGGCGACTTGGTTTCAGGAAGAAAAATAACGGAAATGCCTTGGAAGGTAAATGCAATAGTGAAGGATCATAATACAAATGTGTTGAGCAAAGACTGAAAGAAGAGCGTAGCTGTCTGTTCTTAGAAGGGAGATGGGTCACAGCTGGAGGACCTGATGAAGCGACAGTAGAATTTGTTGATAAGCATAACAGAGGCATATTTATTAAGGATTTCCGACTAAAACTGTTATTTAACTGACATACAGAGCATTGTGATGAGAGATTGAGATAATCGAAAGAACTTGAAGACGTCAGTCGAATGCATCTGCATAAAACTGTCAGCCGGGAGAGTTCTAAGTACTAATGGAATTGAGCTAGAGGGAAGCATTCGGAGATTTCATGTGAAGCAACCCGTTGTTTTATGGCCCTACGTCGACCACTGAAAATGCCCGGAATATGGATGAACACATCAGGTTGTCATTCGAACCGAATAGACGATTGGTCACTAAAACGGTTAACGTTACTGTCGAGCCTTCCAGTAGTAAAAGGTTCGTGAACAAACCGCCCGGATGAGAAAACAATCCAACACCCTAACATCGTCTGGCCACTGCGAAGCCGAGCAACAAACGCATGTGTAGGCGATCAGTGGGAATGACAAAGTCAAAGTGAGCGGGCTGAGCCCAACAGACGGTCTGTTTAGATACAAATGGCTCGGTCGTAGACACTCACTAGTATCAAGTACTGTGGTTCTAGCAATTACAGACAATGCCACGCAGATATCCATGAATCCGAGTTTTGGTGACGCATTGAGGTAACTTGGTTTTGGCCCTTGCATTCCAGTGTGTCTAAATGACATTGTTTATAGACGCCTTCGTAAAATAATCAATCAGCAGCAGTCTGGTTGGCTGAGAGCACTTTAATGCTAACATGGTGCACAAGTTGAAGAACAGATCATTCGGTGGACTAAGGATCAATTGTTGAATTTTGTGGTGATGGAAAGGGTACATGGGTTGCACGCCGATGGGTAGGTGCTTATATGATCGAATAGCAACTTCGCCATGCGATAGGGATCAGAAAACGATGCCTAACATAACAACACAAGTTGACCTAGAAAAACGTGTACATCGGATATGGCAACCTGAACGGTTGTACTAGAATCGGTCAGGCAGGAAGATTTTCCAAGTGCGGAATGAGCATGCGCAGGTGACCACAGGTTATAAAACCATCTAAGACAAATTGTTGTTCAAGAGCGGAAGCAACGGACAACGTCAATGGTCCTTTGGTGCCCAGTGGAAGATAACTAAAAGACAGGTGTTGAGAGGAAATTGTAAAAATTGGCGTAGAAAATATAAATGTAAAGTAACAATGCGGCAGCATGTAGGTAATCCGCTGTCGCCAGAACAATAACTGGGATGCAATTTCAACTGAACGAGAGGCTATCCGTCGATGGATGCGCGCAGGTTCAGACAAGATTCAGCCATGAAATGAATGGGAAAGTAGTTATTTTTGACACCTTCAGAGTGTAATTGATTTGGCACTCCATGGTTAGCTAATATCGCTTAGGTTGTTGTTTATAAATCAAAGTAGTCATCTTCCAGTCGTTGAGAAAGTCCTATTTACTCGGCCAATCGAAGGACAAGAGGACTGCGAAAGAAGTGGTAATAAAAGTAAACACTCACTCGGACCTGCGCTCGAGTCCTCATAGGTTTCATTAGCCAAGGGATTTGATGTTTTCCATCGATCATACATCTGGTCCCAGTCAATTCCAAGCGATTGACTGTATTCCAAGAAGATTGCGTACCATTGTGGATTGGTTCGGGCAATCCAACTTAGGTAGTTGTTCCATGAAGCCCAATCCCACTTCCCAGTTTCACCGAAACGTTCAAAGTACTGTTCCATAACGGCCCGTGGATCAGAACAAAGATCACCGTTTTCAAAAGGAGAATCCAGCTCAGCATCATCTGGTACTGCGTCCTCCTCATAATCCTAGGATAAATGGTCGTAGCAAAAGAAAAATGAGCTCACTTCGTCTTCTGGTGCATCATCACTCTGGGAAGCATGGGTTTCTGTGGGCTCTGTTGCCTCTAAAGTGGTCAAAAGCTTGTCAAAGTACGATATCATGTCTTGATAGTATTTGGTGTAGCATGCGGCCGCATTAGCCGCGTTGTAAACTGCTGGTAGTTGAGCAGGTGCGACAGAAACAGTAGTGCCGATAACAGGTTGGTGGCACATGGTCACCGGTGGCTCGGTGGCCTTCGGAGGGACTAAGAAAGTATACAACAGTAAATACTGAGCACATACCCTCGTTGACATCCGAGAGGGGCTTCTCATTCCTTTTCATAAAATCTCTCAGTTGTTGGATATATTGGATGTAATGCTGGTACTCATCAGAAAGGCGAGTATACTCCTGTCTGTACGCCTCCGACTCATCACCACCTTTAGAATACCACTCACGCAACTTGACGGAGCATTCAGTGAAATAGTCATACATGCGAGCTTCATAATCTTCAACTTCTTTAACCCAAGCAGCAGATAGTTCGGTTAGAAGCATCCTGAAAAAGGGAGAGTCAGATTTAGACAACGAAAATGAAACGAGCATTCGCTTCCACAGGAAAGAAACAATATGCGAAACGAAACCAGGGCATAGATAAGTAAAAACTCTAGCCAGTCTGCACAGGAACTGAATGAGTCACAGTTTGACGGCTATGAAATACTCAAAATAAAACACCCGATATGGAAGCTGTAAGAAAGAAAACACGCCGTAAGCAATGCAAAGAAAAGCCTCAGGCCTGCGATTTTCGAATTAAAATGTTTGCAAAAGGGCCGGGCAGACAGAAACAGTGTTGACCCTAACAAGGCCCCGTGGAAGATACAGAGACTGAACAAAGAAAGCTTAGAGCTCTGCCCATAGAATGAAGTGAATGAGATGGGTTGTAGTAACCTCCTGGGTTCTACTAGATCGGAAGCAAAGAGGGGTTACACTTCAACCAAGTTAGGCGTTTACATTAAACCTATTCGAGAACCACGGAACATTTGAGAGGTTAGAAAAGCCGGTGATTTTGGTGACCTGGTGGGCCAGCTGGAACAGTGAAGAGGCTTCCCTACGCTCCGCTACTACACACTACGCAATAACGCACTAATGGTGTCACCTCGATTGGTGATGAAGCGTTCGCAAAAAAATTGCTAAGCTCGGCGAACAGTTCAGTCGACATCTGAACAACCTGAGCTACCAGTTTTCATTTGCAGATGCTGCTGGCCTCAGGACAACCGAGTAAGGTAGCGAATCAGTAATGTTGAAGACCACGAAACCATAACCTAGAAGGGTGAGAGGACACAAGCCGCTCAGGTGCATCAGTCAATTTGAGCATTTTCGGTACCTAATTCGCTAGCCTAATGGTCGCGAGCTTGTCATGCAATCTGACGACGCGGGTTCGAGCCTGCGTAGGGGCAGGGCGACGTACGCAGTATGCTTAGCTCCCGTGTGACCGGTGGTGGTTGCGCGGTAGCGAAGCGTTGGTACTGCTGATGACTGTTTTTTAATCCGCTAGTGCAGTGCATGGAAATGATGCGCACTGAACAGGGCCGTTACAATGGATCCGCGGTAAGCCGGAACATCATGCTACGTTGCTGCGCAACCACGATCAGTCGCGTGCGGATACTGGATATTGCAAGTTCTCCCGCACCTACGCAGGCTCAAACCAGCAACCTGTGCATCACAAGTCAAACGCTTGAACTGATCAGTCACTGGCCGGCCGTCAACAAGCACACGAAAGAAGCAATCTCAGATAAGTGTCGAGCACGATCCTAGGACCAATATGCGATGGATACAGTTGCTGTAGCCCGCGCCGTAGTAACAAGGAGTACGATGGATAGAAAGAACGAGAGGATACGGTCCAGCACAAACTTACTGACAACCATGATCGTTTACAACAACACTTTGTAATGCGGCTTCCCAAAGTTAGTAATAACTTGGTCTACTATGGGAGTTACATAGACGATTTGTTTTGCATCGTAGATAGTCACCTGTGCACGGCAGAACTATTGACGCACTTTAACGGTTCCCGATAGCAAATAATTCACCCTGAAATCTGAATGCAACAACGCCATGTAGTTCTTAGACGCTCAGATGAGCGAAAGATCAGACGGGTCGGTCAAACGGAGTGTTCATAGGAAGGCCATGTGGAACGGGCGATATACACATTTTGCCAACTTCGTCCCACTTAGAAAGAGACGGAAACTTGTTCCATCTCTAAATGAGCGAGCAAGAAAGATATGTAGTGATGACACTCGCGGATGAGCTACACTTCGTACGGATCCTATTTGAGAGAAATGGCTATCCGGAGAAATTCGATTGGATAAATATGGAGCCTCGAGAAACAATCAGTAAAATGGTTTCAGTGGAAAAGTTGCCGGTCTATCACTATCGTTCGAGGGGAGGGATAGCAGAATCCACATCTAGAAGGCTTTCTGATGCCATTTCTCAAACATACTGCACAGCACGCTTACAGTTAAGCTACACAGTTCAGTGTCAAATATGAACCAGCAACTTAAGGACAGGATTCCGCGGTCAAGTATTTCCTTTTGTGTTTACTCTTTCTCTTGTTCGTGTCGAGCACATAGTTGGAAGAACCACCGGAAGACTGCCTGAGAGAGCAACGGAGCACTGTCCAGTTTGGCTGTATACCGGATTGACGAGAACGGTGACAAGTGTCGTCTGCGCATCTAATTGATTAGAACCACCAGGTCGATGCACACGATGCGTATCATCTTATCTACCACGTACCCAGACGCCATACACGAGCGATCAGGTGTTGCCTACTGGCATCGGCCGAAGCGATTGCAATTCGGCTTCATGATCCTGACCTATGTGCACACAAGAAATCCGTTCACCTGTAACGCTGACATTGTGTGTTTAGCACAACACACTCTTGACCGCTGCGAGACTAATCACCTAGCCTAAGCACTTAGTACATCTAGGCTTCTGAACATATAGCCTTATCGGTTGTATGCGTTTCCATGCCATCCATTCGTGATAAAGAACCACCGAAAAAGAGCTTGTTCTCTAACTCGTTCTGATGTCTACGCCTGGGGTAATTTATCAATTGAAGTTTGAAAGCATCAAAATATAGGAGGGGTCCGCAAGTAGAGGGGCTGTCAATCATAAACATACGAAAAAGCAATGAACCGGTCACTGAACTCTGGGGAATTCCGCTATGCGTAGTACCTGTGCTCGAAGTGCCATCACCAACTGTTTTACAGTAGAGGAAAGCGGAGAGAAGAGAAAGCAGCTGATAGTGGAGTACAAACTAGGTCCCTATTTCCAGTAAAAAAATGAAGCAAAAGCTTTACTGAAGTCAAAATTACACTTAGAACGTTAGTACATCAAGGAAACATAGTAGGTTGGTTAGGCATGACTTTTCCCCGACGAAGTCATACAGGCCCACTTCGATGAAGCTATAGGCGGCTAGATGTTTGCACATTTGATTTTGAATGAGCTTTCTAGACATTTCAAAGGTGTGCTAGTTAGATTAACAGGCCAATAATTATTGGACGAGAGTTTAGAACTACTTGAAAAGATCGCCACTACAACTGCCTTCTTTTACTCCTGCAGTATACTTCTTTGACAGACGTAAAATTTAGGAAGTGGAATCTGAAAAATATCGGCAAGTGGATTGACAATAACTTGATGCCAGGAGATTTGTAGGGTTTCACATCATTTAGGACAGAAGGAAAATCAGAGGTAGTTAAAGGAATTTTTGCCTTTGTGCCCTCGCTTATACAGCAACGCCTGCGACTTAGCTAGACCATCCGCAACTTGAAGTTCATCTTTCTTGATTAAATTGCAAACCACTTCCTTTAAAGAGGCCTTGGACTACACGTAGCTGTAGTAGTAATTCGGGTTCGTTTTCACATGTCAGCCTAAGTTCATATGAATATTTGGCTTGATTCTGCTATCTGACCACTAAATTTCTGCAACTTTTATAGCTCAGCCATCTAGCAAATCCACCGAAATCATGGAATCCTTTCCACAAAACATTCCGTTGTTTCCACGCTCTAAGAATTCTTCGGTCACCAGCGAGACTTATCTGAATGGCACACGGGAGCAAACTCTTCTGGCAATCGCGTGAGACCACTATGATGAGTACATGCCCCCAGTTCAGGAATCCAGGTAATGCGTTTAGCTCCGACTTTTAAAAGTATGATATTAATCCGAGTTATTCCGCATCAGTGGTTTAGTTAATATTTTCGGCAACAGGATAATCCCGTGAGTGTTCCTTTTGCGCATCGTTAGAGCAAAAATTAACAAAGCGATTTGAAACTGAGAAACTGAGGGTGACCTTCGCAGTATCCATAGCCAATGCGCGACCAGTAGTGGTTGCGTGGCAGCGAAGTGACGGTACTACGTACCGGTGTACTGCTGGTGCAATTTTGCTGATCCGTAGCTTAAATGTAACGAGCTTATCCTGTAATCTGACGGTGCGGGTTCGAGCCTGCGTAGGGGCAAGGCAACGCTCGCAGTATCCTTAACCCATGTGTGACCGATGGTGGTTGCGCGTTAGCGAAGCGTCGGAACTGTGTACCGGCGTACTGCTGATGCCTCTGCCACGAGGAGGTTGAACAAAATGGGGAAATTGGAGAACCCTGACGAACGCCACTTGTTTCCAGAAAGGCATCCGACGAATCACCCTAGATCGTGACGCGGCCTATGGTGTTTGAGTACAGCGCGAGCAAAAAACTCACGGATTTCATGGGAACACCATTTCGCACAAGTAATACAAACAGAATGCATAGATTGACTAAGCCGAACGTACTAGAAGTTGAAGAACACAGCTACTGTCGGTCTGTAGTATATGTGACGCTGCTCCAGCATCTGCCGCAGAAGGAATAGGTGGTCTTTACATACCTGTCCTGGGCGGAAGCCTGTTTGTCCTCCTTTAATCCGCAATGAGGCGCAATTTATGCCAATAATTTGGTCACCACCGGTGTTAAGCTAATACATTAGAATGCGACTGCCCTACTTGTATATCGCACTATAATCGATTCAGCTCAGATAGCTGAGGGTCAGTGCTTTGTAAAGGACCTCACTACTATACTTAAATAGCGCACGTGAGAAGGAATCAGGGCCAGCAGCACGGAAACGCGTTTTGGACCTCGGCCTCCGATGGACGCTCTAAATTAACTGGCCATGAATCAGACTGCAACACCTGGATAGGATGAGGTCAAGAAGCCGGGCGCCACCTGAAGTGCTCCCGAAAGTGCTCCGCCCAAGGAGACATACGACAATCCTTATTGCGAAACATGGCACTTGCGCTGTATCTGATTGTCACACCGAGGCCTGGTTTCCTAGAACCAGTGATGCGGCTCAGATGAACAAGCTTGCAATAACTGCCTACTGCTTTTGCATCCTACATTTCTTGAGCCTTATTAGCCCGCTACACCATGTCAGCGCGCAGGCTCCGCTTTAGTTCGCGCCTAATAGCCCATCTAGTCACATGCTCAGAGCCAGTCGGGAGGTTTCTTCTGGATTCCAACAGGTTCACTGACCTCACGG